TGCTGTTTTTTTTGTTTTTGTTTTTTTTTGTTTTTTTTTTGCAGTTAATTAGTATGGTCTCCACTCTATGAATTGGTGGCAAGTTTAATTAAAATGACCCTTCGGTTTTCTTATAAATGGCATCATGGCAAAAAAAGTGGTCTGAAAATTAGGGTCTCCGGTAACCTTCTCTCGTAGGAAGAGAGGAGGGAGGAGAGAGAGAGTTGACAACAACGACTGAAAAAATCTAAGGACAAAGAAGGAGACAAAAAAGAAAAATAGGGAAACAGAAGGGAAAAAAAACAAGGTAAAACATGTTTTTAAAGAGAATAAACATTAAAAAAAAAGAGCAACTCCGTACGTGAGTGCGCACTTGCTCACTCCAATGGCCCTGCCTGCCTGCCTGCCTGCCGTAGAACAACAGTGTTCTTTAACTTTTTTCTTTCTGTTAAAGAGAGAGTGTTCTGAGAACACTCAGGGGAAGCGGGAGACGGCGGAACTCAGTGCCTAGAGTAGCATAACTTCCTGCGATTTGTCAACCCCCCCATCTCCCGCTTCTGCTCGCTTCCGCTCCCTTCCGCTCGCTAGTCTGCGCGGCTTTGGCGAGCAGCAACTTGCAAGAAAAGGACATGCAGGTGTTGTGTTCCATGGGTCGAGCGGCGGGAGTAGCTAGCGGCGGGAGTAGCTAGCGGCGGGAGTTGCTAACGGCGGGAGTAGCTGGCGGCGGGAGTTGCTAACGGCGGGAGTAGCTGGCGGCGGGAGTAGCTAGCGGCGGGAGTGGCTAGCGGCGGGAGTGGCTGGCAGCGTGAACATCGGCGGCGCAGATATTTCCCTACTCACGCTGGCGACCATGCGAGGGGGAGACGCGGGCGATATACACAGCGCAGTGCAACAGTCTTTACCCGAATAGAACGCCCTCTCATTAGCGCTACATCTAAACCAGAAGTCGCCCCAAATACAGCTCTATATTGACCCGGCGTTCTATTCGGATGAAGACTGTAGCAGGCCTGGAAAGACGATAACAAAGAGAGAGAGAGAGAGAGAGGTAAGGGAGAGAAAAGAAGAGAGAGAAAAAGAAAGAGAGAGAGAGATAACAGCGGCGGGCGGCGGGAGATGATGGAGTTGGCTTCGCGACAGGAAAGTGGAGGCGAGACCATCCCAAAAGGAACGCAAGAACACATTTTAAAAATATAATTAAAAAATAAAAAACGAACCCGAAATACTAATACCGTCAGTGAGACCGCAGAGGCGCTCCTCAGGAGGGAAGCAGAGCGGCGGAGAAGAGACGGAGAGAGAGAGGGAGAGAACGGCGGACGACAATGGAAGAATAGAACGCTGAGCGGAGGCTGTGAAGGAGGAGGAGGAGGAGGAGGAGGAGGACAGCCGGAGTGTCTCGCTGTGGCCTTCGTCTCCCAACAAACAGGTGTCAGAACGGCGGCAGCGCAGGCCGTCCTTTTTTTTTCTTTTTTTCTTTTTTTAACGTCGCGACGGAAGGGGAGGGAGGACGAGATCTGAACTGTGATGGATTTTCTTTCACGGGATCCGGACTGTGATTTGGTGCGCGCACCAACGCCCAGTCAGTCACCCTCATCCCATAGACTAGCCAACATAGACATACAAAACGACAAAAAACTCATCAATCTATCAGATTTGGAATAGAACAGAACCAACGTACGACAGAGAAGGAAAAAAAAAACACTAATTACAAAACAGTAAAGCTTGTATGTGTGTGTGCGTATCTGCGTGTGTGATTGTGTGATTGTGTGATTGTGTGTGTGAGTGTGTGTGAGTGTGTGAGTGTGGGATTGTGGGATTGTGTGTGTGTGTCAGACAGAGAGAGAGAGAGAGAGAGAGTAAGGACTCAGGGAGGAGAGAGGTTGGCCAGATTGCGCGAACCTGGCATAGGAGTTAAGCGCGCGAAGATCCGAAGCAGACATGAATCGTCTAAGGAGTCGATCGATGACCGCCCTGCTTCTGCCCAAGGCACTGTAAGCTCGGGAGACACTCTCCTCCTCACACAACGCTCCATGGTTCTCTGATCAAACACAGCACTCTGCCGTTGATTGAGGGTCCCGTTTGTTCCTCTCCCTCTCTCCCTCTCTCCCTTCCTCTCCATCACCACCACCACCACACCCACAAACCCTCTTTAATCCACCCTATCAGCCCCGTAACAGATCGTTTTCGACCCCTGCCTCACTGCTCATCCATTTGATTGACAGCAACTCACTA